TGTGAAAGAAATTATTTTAAATAGCCTTAACTTAATATCAATCATAGTATGTATTTTTTATATCGACTAATCGATGTGTTGAAATTCTTGATTTTGAAGTCAGCCATAATTTCAGCTTCTTCTTGAACAGAGATAATGAGTTTAGTTGTTTCAGTTCATTTGGTAGATCGTTGTATATCTTTGGCCCAAGAAACATGCTAGATCTCTGGGATATAGTTTTGGTCACATGTGGAACTAAAATGTTAAATTTTTTTGACCTCGTGGAGTAGAAATAATCTAGAAATATTTTGCTCCGATATTTTTTCTGGTCAACAGCAAGTGTTGAATGAAATATTTGTTTTACATCTAATATATTGCCAAGCTGATGGGTAGGTAATTGGTAGGTAAAGAATTCGTCCTTCAGTTGGAAATAACAGTTTCGTGCACAGCATTCTAGTAGTTCCATAATTACTTCTATAGGTAAGTTCGTTTTATCTTCCAGGTCCCCGTCTTCGTCTGTATGATTTGAAGTGCTTCTTCAACCGGAACGTTCGTTGGTGTAAAGGCTTTCCACGATGATGAAATTCATCATGAAACATTGTCAATTACCTTCAAACAAACGTCAATCAGGAGTATTACCTTGAAATTATCTGCCGCTTGCGAGAAGCAATACGCAGGAAGCTTCCGGTAATTTGGAAAAACAATTCATGGCTTTACCGTAATCATCTGACTACTTTAAAGGGGACACAATAGAAATTAATGAATAAATAAACATTTTTTTGAGAAAAATAAAAATTCACCTTATTTATTGAACAGACAGAGTACCAGCTCTTCAATAAATTCTAGCATTTTGTGTTTGATCTACTACTTCTCTAATGTGCTATATTAATCTCATTGTTTTATTACAGGTGGATGGTACATCCTCAGAGATTTCAACGATGCCGATTTCGATAAAAACGAAGTCATAAAAACGCTACAAGTGAAACATGGCGTCACTCCTTATTTCAAAATATCCGTTCAGCCTAATCCCAACATGCCCGGTCAAAACATCATTAGAATATCGCCGTCAGGGCTAGGACTGCCCGACAAGGAATATTATTATAGAGACCAAGATGATCCGGTGAGTATAAAATGTACTTTGATAAATAACAACATGAGTTGTAGAATGAACTTGTTTCAAAAATTATGCTCTTCATATATCTCTGTATCTGCGCGTGGACGTAACGTTTCAGCCATCTGAATTGTTCCGCTGTTTTTACACGCTTTATATTAGCTTCACCTGTGTGTATGTATGTTTGTTTGTATGTATGTTTGTAATTATCAAGCTCGGGATCTGTATTTACAGAATTATCGGCATTATTGCTTGATCTATTCGCATGCAGATGTCGCTGTACATAACCTCATTGATATTTCTTTATCTATTCGCGGGCAGATGGCGCTGTAAGTAACTATCAATTATTGCTTGAGCTAGCGAAGTATTAGCGAAATTTTATACCACATATGAAATATTAAAATATTTACAATTACCCGTGATTCAGTACAGAAAAAACTTCCGAACGAAACGGAAGATACATTTTAAATTAAATATTTCATTCAGACTGATAGAAAACACGTGTTGTAGGTTGAAAAATATTCGAATAAATGTGGTGAATACATTTGCCACTTCTCACGCAGACATACGTAGATGTCTTTACTTTCACTCTGTTGGTTTTGGAAAACTAAAATGTTGATTAGCTAATTTCAGAGACTTCCTCACTGATTATGACAGAGGACGGTTGAGTCGATAACGACCGTCCTCAAAGATGGCACGTGGATGTCGTGGTAGAAGTGGAGTCCAAAAGTGATGTGTCATTTTTTTAAAATAAAGTCAAGTTCGAATGAATATTGAAGTGAATGACATTTTGAGAGGGACTAGCGTCCCCTACGCCAGTAGCCAGGCTGGATGTCGACAGATTCGACGAGGTCGTCAGTGCGTTATTAATGAAAGTCATATTGAGAGGACTGGCGTCCCCTAGTAATACATGACGTTTTTATAAAAGAAAAAAGTGAATGAGAAAACTTAAGGTCGCAGCATTGTCTCGAGCAAGACAGCTGCGCCCACGGACGAAGCGTCTGTTCACTAGGGACAGGATAGGTCTGGCCAAATGCGCTTGATTGACAAGCTACGAATAAATTAATGAAGAAGAAACTAACTTCAGGGTGTCGGTTTTTCGAGACTGTCCGCGCGCATCGCAAAAATTTGCTCTCATTATTTTTTCCTAACACGTCAAAAGAAGTATAACTTACCTATACGTACCTACTCATTTGAAATGTGTTGCCAAAAAAGCAACAAAAAAACAAGCTCCTCTAACCTCTAAAATATCGTTGAAGAACTCATTTAGCGCAGAGTACACTTCATTTGCAAGAATTTTCCTAAAGTCTATCTGCAATTTAAATAATTTGTTAGTATTTCTCAGGGCTCGTAGTAATTTGTTATATATTTTTATTCCCGTATACACAATCGAGTCTTGTTTTGTAAAATGATTCGAACATTATAGGTACGAACTTCCATTTTTTGTATAAGACAGGGAGTTTAGAAGATAAATAAGGAAAAATACAGTTAGAATATTGTTCCTTTTGAAAAGAGGTCTACAAGTTTCACTTCATTTTGCTCTTCAAAGATATCTCACAGCGCGTTTTTGTAGAATGAAAACAGAAGATAAAATATGTTTGCAGCATATGCCATACCAATCATGAAATCCCAACTTGTGTGAGACTATTTTTAATGCGAAGCAACCCGATGTCAATTTCTTGTCGAGTGTTCTTATATGTTCTTCAAATTTCAGGTCATGATTCATGATTATGCCTAAGACTTAAGTAGTGATATTATTATAAACAGCGTCATTTCCCAGCATCAGTTGTGGTAATATGCATTTAAAAGTTGAATTGTTTGTTTTTCCTTTCAAATGAAAAACAAAAGATTTGCATATATATCAAAAATAGTAGTGGCCCCAAGACAGAACCTTGGTGTACTCCTGTACTTACAACCAGTGTGCTAGGTCTTCACATATTGTTTGCGATTCTCAAGGTGGGATTTGAACCAAGACAAACTTTGGTTTCTTCAATTAAAACAAAATCGTTTTGTTTCTTTCCTCCCAAGGTACGAAAAATTGCACTTCGATTATTTTATTTTGCTGTTGATATCACATACAGTTACTTTGAGACAGTTTTTATAAACATATTTGCCTCAGTGAATTAAGGGCTACCGAAGATTGTCAATATCACATAAAAAGCATCGGCTGATGAGTTAAGAAGTTTTGTAAGTGAATGTACTGAATAATATTGAGAATTTACTAATTTGGATAGGTTAGGTTAGGTCCAAAGTGAGTGGGTCTATTCGATCCGCCACCGCAACTCGCAAGGGTTTATTGTGGCTCACACTCGACCAAATAAACCCAGCTTTTCAACGAACCCGATAAGTTTGTATGGTGAGTGGTCTTTCAGGTCAGATAGTAAACTTCTTCGATTGACGACTTGTTTATTTTGTGGAAATTCATGTTCACTGAGGATACACTACAAAAACACACTTTTGTCTATAGCCGAAACCGGTCAACAATAAAGAAATATAGTGGAAAATAGACAAAAGTGTGTTTTTGTAGTGTATCCTCAGATAGTAAAAGTATGGCTCTGCCGAACTCTAAAAACCTGATTCGGTCCCCAGCTAGCCAGGCACAAAGTATGTACACTGCTGTTTCATCATTTTCCAAACAGAAGCGACACACAATGCCTTCCGACAGTTCGAGTCTGGAAGCCAATCCTGGAAGATTCTGCTAGAAGTCCATAAATCTTCTTGCCATCCAGATGTTCAATATTTGTTTGTTTGGCAAAGCGATGCCAATGACCTGACCTGATGAAGCTGCTTGCAGTACCCTACTTTAAAGGAAGTCAGCAGCCTCATTGCCTTCCAGGCCAGTATGGCCAGGAATCCAGTATGTTTATATGAGGATTAGGCAGTGTTTGTCCCTACCGAACTACTAGCGCTGCTAGTGAGTGATTTTTCGTACTTCAGGAAAAAGGTTCATTGCACCATAAGTGATCATTGCTCTGACAATCATCACATCACTCCAATGGATTTGTTTAGGACCTAAACCCAAAGTTTTACCACAAATCCTTCGACATAATTTGGGTAGGTGAATCAAACAAATTTCATCTATTCTCATCTCAATTTCTGCATGAAAGATGTTTTGAACGCAATATCTCACTCAAATATTCAAAGAAATGTGTAGGATTAAATTACCAAGTTGATGAGAGACCATGAACTCCGCATTTTGAAAAAATACTTTGTGACACTTCAGCGCCTTCTAATTATAGGTATATTTGTTATTCTTCATTTTCAGGTTCAAATTGCTTATAGAGAATACATAAGAGATGTAGTTATATACATGAGCACCGCTAGAAACGAAGCGACGAAATTTGGCACGGACATGTTCTTCTACGAAAAAAGGATCGCCGAAATAACTCCGGATACGATGAGTTTACAAAATCCAATAACCACATACAACGCCATTTCGTTATCGGAACTAAGAGATACTAATTCAGTAAGTTATTTCACACTAACATCTTCAATATTGTCGGAATGTTCTTGAACATGAAGTTGATGTCCATAAGATATCCTCAAGTGATAGAATATATCAATCGCTGAACGAAATTTGTGTTCTGTCTCTTTCTGCAGCTTTCATTGCAAGACAACTAGTTGAATCTGAAGCCCAAAAACAAAATATTCATCATCCAACATCAAATAGCACTGTTTTGACCTGTCATTGAACCTTCTGTCGATCCTGGAAATGGTATCTTAGTAAAGAGTGGTGTCCATAAAAGCTGGTTCCATGACAACTTGAAACAGCTCTATCTAATGTTGGATCATGAATGTTTCAAGCTCTTGTTTCGATTTATGTATCCAGTTAAATGTATTTGATTATTAACCCGCTTTCTCTATTGTTAATTTTTGTTTAAATTTTCAATTCTTCTACGTAGATTGATTTTGGTTTTGAATTTTATCATTCCAGATTCCATTTTTCGATATATTGCAAGCCATGTATCCAGATTCGAATATCACCGATAATACGGAAGTGATTGTCAGTTCTTTGGAATATTTAGGACAAATATCTCAAATAATAGCCACCACTGACAGAAAAACCATGAACGGGTACCTGACTTGGACTCTAGTCAGACATTATATCCCCTATTTATCTAGTACTTACACTTCGGCTTTGGATACGTTCACATCTGCGCTTTACGGTGAGTATAACATATACGCACACTTAACTTTCACGAGATAAAAACATTTTCAATGAACATTTTCCGAATCGTCCTATCTGTAGAAAATACATGAGGGAACTGGTATCCAAATTCACAACTACCAATAGTGTACATAACAAAAAGCCCCCAGGTCATCAGTCCATTCCGGAAGAATAGCAAGTGCAAATAATTAGTGAGATGGTAGTAAATCCTGAACAGTCTACTTATTCCGTCGCAGATGTTTGCGAGGTGTCTCCTTCTACTATGTGGAGATTTTTGANCATTATCCCCAATTTCAATTTTTTGAGTTGACCCGTTCAAAAAATAAAAGGACGGGGGCATTAAAGAAATGCACTGTATAAACAGTTGTGTGTATTGACTCTGACCTTTGGAGGCTGAAGATTTGACCTATATTCTAGGTATGCAACAACCTTTGGAAAGGTGGGAAATGTGCGCGGGATTAGTCAGAAGATTTATGGGGTTCGCGGTGAACTACTTCGAGGAAAAAAATCATCCCATTACGAAAAATTCAATGCGAACCATCAACGACACATTTGCTTCAATTGTTAGTGTTGTAAAAAATAAGATTGAAACATTTCCACAGACGTCATTACTCTACAACCATCTGAAGAGCAAGGTAAGATTATACTTGTTTCTCATTTATTTTTGCTTGATTTTAAATCATGACAGGAGTGCGGAATATTTGACAGGAGTTCGAAATTCTTCAAGGTGGGCCATCAATAATGTACCTCATGACTGAATTGCCAGGAAAAGGACTTTTGCAAACATACCAAGTTTGAATTGAAAGAGGGTATACTTTTCAAAAGAGATTAATTTTTGTGTAAAAACCTTTGTGACTTTCTACCTCTCCATCTCTCAATCTTTATACAAAAATGTGTGAATTTTCGAAAAACGGAAGCAAGCAATTAATTTCGGGATAAACTTTTTGCAAAAATGTGTAAATTATGCTCAGGAGTTTCTTTATACACCAATTGGAAGAAAAAGTCGTTTCGAAACAACTACTCTCAACACGTGCTTTGCCAGGCAAGTTAGCATCATCAGGAGATGACTGAAACTATGACTAAGTCTTAGTCATCTTCTGATGATGATAATTCGGTTGGCGAAACGCAAACCCCTATCAATGAAGATCCACTCGATCCCCATTCTCATTTGAAACCTTTGGGGGATGACAGAACCTTGCTGAATGGGAGGAACTTCAAGACCATTTTCAAGACCACAGTCGATATTCTGGGAAAGGCACTACCCACTATTCCCAAACTAGAATCAACAATGCCGGAAATTGCTTTTCGACAGCGTCTTGTCAGGCGAATTTTGAAACAGCTCAATATCAACAAGGCGTCTGGCAAACGAACTCGCGCAAATGAACTCGCACCAGTATTTTGCAGACTTTTTAACCTGTCTTATAAGAAAGGGGTTTTTCCTTCTTATTGGAAGATTGCTCGCGTTCAGCCTATTCCCAATAGCAGGAAAATCCACGATGCAAAATGGGGAGCGTCATAGAGACCTATTAGGTTGCAAAGCTTAGATGATAAGAAGAAAAAATAACCGGGTACAAGGTATCCCCCTGTATATTAACCTGCCGCGCTTCAGTAAATCCCGAAATCCCCGCTTCAGTAAATCCCGATATCCCCGCTTGGGCTCATCTATTACAAAGAGGGCAAGAAAAATCTTCCAAATAACTATAGACCAGTCGCTTTGCAATCAGTGATATCAAAAATTATGGAGAAAGTCATACCCCACATCCAAAATTATGGAGAAAGTCATAAACCACCGTATCCTTGAATATTTGGAAGGCTTCAACGTCTTGAGCAATCGTCAATATGACTTTCAGAAACAAAGATCAACAGGAGACCTTTTATTGTTTGTCACCCATATTTGGAATAACGCAATCCAGAAACATGGAGAATCAAGAGCTGTTGCGTTTGATATTTCTAAGGCGTTTGACCGTGTGTGGCATGAGGGTTTGCTGGCCAAAATTCGATTCTATGGCTTGTCGGATCATTTTTGTGTATGGCTCTTCAGCTTCCTGAAAGAAAGTTTCTTGCAAGTGGTCGTTGATGGATATCTCTCGAATTCTATCACCATCAACGCTGGTGTTCCCCATGGATCAATATTGTCTCCAACTCTCTTTTCGTTGTATATCAACGATTTATTGGAAAAAAACAAGAATCCAATATATTGCTTTGCTGACGACAGCACATTTGTCTCTTCAATTCCACAAAAACCCAGGCATCTGTTTTCTCCAAGAAGATGAATGTCTCCGAACCGGATATAATAATGAGGGTCAGATAATTCCGCCTTCTGCTTCGATAAGTTTGTTGGGGGTTCAAATGGACGCCAATATGTCTTTGCGCAATCATGTCGCTAAAATTGCAAAGGCTGCTTCTCAAAAGATTGGAACACTGTTCCGAACCAGAAAACTGTACACACCTCAGCAACTTTTGATGCTTTATTAAGCTCAGATCAGACTTTTTTTGGAGTATTGTACTAATGTATGGAGCTCTGCCCCCAAACATACGCTGAAGTTACTGGATTGCATCCAGAAAAGAGCCATCCGCCTGATTGGAGACGCAAACATCACGTGCAACCTTGATAGTCTGGAAGATCGAAGAAGAGTTAGAGATTTGTCTCTCTGCTATGGATAGTTTCACGGGAAGTGTTCAAGTTTCTTGGCACATTTGGCCGCTCATCGTTCCGAGGTTCAACTCCTTACACCTCGAACTCCACTGTCTAAGAACTTTTTCATCTATAGAACTGCGTTTATGTGGAATAAACTTCCTGAGAACGTTTTCCCAAATGGATTAAATCTTCAGCTATTCAAATTCAAAGTGAATCGCTACTTTCGCACAGGCACCGCTCTGAGAGCGCCTTAAGGATTTTCCTGTAGTGCTTGTGTTTTGTCCTTGAAATAAATGGGGTTGAAGGTTTTGCTATGGTTTTTGTGTCATATTTCAATACAAAAATGGCGAGTTTTTAGAGTTTTGCGAAAACCCCTTCACCTGGCGGTGCGATTTCGAAAGTTCACTTTGGACGAGGTCTCTTCAAAAAATAAAGTGAATGTTCAAACTTCACGAGCTACGTACATTCGATTAGCGATTTTTTATGTTGGTAC